GAAGTTGCAGGAACTGGGTATGTCTAGTTTGATGAAAAGAAGGACTAGGGGACACATGATAACAGTGTTCCCCGCCTAAGGTTGTCTTAGCAGTGGTGGAATTAATGAAGCTTCTTTCCCCATTGCTTCAGTTCCTGGATCCATTCAGACCGGGGAGAAGTTTTCGTCCCCTAAATCCCTTCCGCCGAATCCCGGAGACAGTGACGGGTTTGTCAACGGGACGTCAAGAGAAGGGGACTTTGCAGAAGGCAGCACACAGCCGAGTTGCTGACTTAAAGTGGAGACCATCAAAACTTCGGATTCGGTCCTAAGTCTCCTTTTTGTTGAAGCAGGTCATAATTTCAAACGATAATTCAGTGATCAGTTGTTAAGTCAAAGACTAGCTATACATTTTTACTGATCATCGCTCTAGCCCAGGATGGGCTAAGGACGCATTTTCTGGATGTACCAACCCCAAGGGTGACTATGATGACCGTGTTCCAATATTTGAGGGGCTGCCACAAAGAAGAGGGAGTCAAACTATTCTCCAAAGCACCTGAGGGTAGAACAAGAAGCAATGAATGGAAACTAATCAAGGAGAGAAGCAACTTAGAACTAGGGAGAAACTTCCTGACAGTGAGAACAATTAATTAGTGGAATGACTTATCTCCAGAAATTCTGGGTGCTGGAGGTTTTTAAGAAGAGATTGGACAAATATTTGTCTGCCATGATATAGGGCAGCGGTCTGGGCCGCATGTGGCTCTTTCATCCCTCTGCTGTGGCTCCCTATCCCTCAAAATATGTGTCACAACCACCAAGGTGCGACACCCGCCGGGAGACAGTTTATTGAGCGTTTCGACCCAGGTTTTGTGGCTCCCGGTGTTTTCTTTTCTGTGGCAAACAGATCCAAATGGCTCTTTTAAGGTTGCCGACCCCTGATATAGGCTTTCCTGCCTGAGCAGGGGGTTGGACTAGAAGGCCCTCCAAGGTCCCTTCTGTTATGCTGTTATAACTGCATACGCCTAAGTGCAGACTTACTCCCATGAAACTCCATGGGGGGAATTGCCCAAGGTTCCATTTGAGTTTGGCGGCCGCTTATCGGTCTTAATTTCGAACCCGGGTCACCATGATCGGGGGGGGGGGGGGAGGGAACGGGAACGGAGTGCAGGAAGGCGCTGGATTCGTTTCGCCAGCCGAGACCTTGAAAGACCTCCCCGCACGACCCATCTAGAGACTTGACGCTGTTCTGATTCATGCACAAACAACTCTTATTAATATTTCACGCGGGCCCTGAATATTTCATTCGTTCCAAAGGTGACTCGCGAAACGGGAACACGCCAGGAAGGCAAGCATGGCGCTTCCCTCCCCCCCCAGCCCCCTTTCTCGGAGAAAAGCTGTTAAACCAAAGCTAAAAGGCAAGGACTTGTTTTCGAAACACGTGGGGCTGGTCTGGCCTGAGGGGACGAGGTTCTCGGGACGGAGTTGTTGCAGGCGAGGATGATGGATCGGAAGCTCACGGGAGAACTGAACTTAGAAGCTTCCTGAAGAGGCTTTTATGAACTTTCCTGAACTTAGGAGGAAGTTTGGTCCAGTGAGTAAGGCGTCAGGACAGAGGAGGAGTCTGATACCAGGAGATGTGAGCTCTAGTCCCGACCTAGGCATGAAAGCCGGCTGGGTGACTTTGGGCCTATCACCAGAGACTGGGAATTCTAGTTCCATCTTAGCCATGAAAGCTGGCTGGGTGGCTCTGGGCCGATAACCAGGAGATGTGAGTTCTAGTCCCGCCCTAGGCATGAAAGCTCGCTTTGGACATATCACCAGAGACTGGGTGTCGGTCCCTGTCTCTCTCTCTCTCTCTCTCAGCACACACCCCCATGCCCCCCCACCCCAGGTTTGTTGTGGTGGGGAAAATAGGAGTAAGGTTCGTTGGATAGGTTTGCCACCTTGAATTATTTATAAAATTAATAAAGATGGGGTATAAAATGAACCGGCTTCCAACTCAGTCTCGCTAGGCCAGCTAGGGAATTCTGGGAGTTGAAGTCCACCCATCTAAAAGTGTCCTTGATTGACTACTGAGAGGTTGTCCGGCCATAAATTTCCTTTACTACTCTTGGTTGCCACCTGGTGACCACAAAGCTTTTGACTGCTAGAGAAGGTGGCAGGGAGGGAGGGCTTCTGAACCTAGGAATGTGGGGACAGCCCTCCCCGGAAGTATGTGGACTTCAACTCCCAGAATTCCCCAGCCAGCATGTTTTAAGATGGGTGGCCTTCCGTGGCACGACAAAACCGCGCTCGTCAAAATAGCAGTGACAAAACCGAGTCGCTAAAGCTGCGACGTCATCACCGCGGCGGCAGAAGGGTGCTTTAAAACAGCGCGGCGCCAGAAAGCCAATTTAAATTAAGGTAAGGATTAGGATTAGGTTTAGGGGTTTGGTTTAGGGTTAGGTTTAGGTTTAGGGTTAGGGTGCTGAGTGCTTCAGAAGGCGCGGATTTGCCCTCCGCGCTTATGTCGGTGCAGATAAGGGCTTCGCGGTATTGTGGGTGAACCGCGGCCTTCAACTCCCAGAATTCCCCAGCCAGCATGTTTTAAGATGGGCGGCCTTCAACTCCCAGAATTCCCCAGCCAGTTGGGGCATCTTAAAGCCTGCTGGCTGGGGAATTCTGGGAGTTGAAGTCCACATATCTTAAAGAGCCGAGGTGGCGCAGTGGTTAAATGCAGCACTGCAGGCTACTTCAGCTGACTGCAGTTCTGCAGTTCAGCTGTTCAAATCTCACCGGCNATGCGCACACTGGGAACAGGCTCCAGCTGTTCTTCTGCCTCACTGATGTCTGACTCTGAAGGCAGCTTGATAACTGTCAGACGGCTCTAGCCCCCTCTCTGCCTCCAACACAGAGTCCTCATCCAAGCCTTCCCCAGACTCCAGGACTGGCCCAGGTTCCACCTCAACCTCCTCACAGTCCGAATCCGCTGCCAGCTCCATAAATCTATAGAATACAGAATAACAAGTTTGAAGGGACCTTGGAGATCTTCCAGTCCAGCCCGCTGTTCAAGCAAGAGACCTTATACCATTCCAGACAAATGGGTTGTCCAATCTCTTCTTAAAAACCTCTAGTGTTCTAGCACCCACAATGTCTGGAGGCAAGTTGCCCCATTACATCTTAAAAGTAGGCCAGATTGGGGGGGGGAGTGGAAATCTGAGCTAAAGTTAAAGGATAAGGAAGTTATCAGTAGGAAAGGAAAAATGGTTTAAAAGGTTAAGAAGCAAGGAGGCAAGGAAAAAAATGTGACTGCTGCTTAAGTTTTATTTCCCCAATTAAGGACTTGGGGGGGGGAAACATGCTATAAGTAGTCCTTGACTTGTGACCGTTCCATGGCACTGAACAAAGGGACCACTGAAAAATGACCACTTTTCGCACTGGGTAGAGCTTATAATTAGGGAGCTTATTTTTTGGGATAGACGTAGTCCTCGACTTGCAACCGTTCAACAGTTACAACAGCAATGAAAAAAAGTGGCATGCCCATTTCTCACACTTACAACCATTGCTGGATCCCTGTGGTGACCTGATAAAAACTCAAGAGACGCTTGGCAACCGACTCATATTAATGACGGTGGCAGTGCCCCAAGGTCACTGATCCCCTTTTTGCGACCTTCCGATCGGGAAGTCGATGGGGGAGCCAGGCTCCCTTAACAACCCTGTGACTAAGTTAGCAACCGCAGTGATTCACTGAACAACAGTGGCAAGGCAGGAAGGTCACAAAAGAGGGCCAAACTGATTCCACAAATGTCTCGCTAAGCGATGGAAATGTTGGCCTCTATTGTAAGTTGAGGGCCATTTGTATACTTCAGCCAATAATCCAGCGGGGGTTGATTTTAGGAGTTTTTGCAGGGGTTGCTGGAGAAAATGTAGCCACTACCGAGCAATTTACTCCTAGTCTTCACCTCCAATGTGTAAAGACACCGTCGTGGTGGTTATCCTTAGCTTAGAACAGGAGTCGGCAAGCTTAAACACTCAAAGAGCCACTTGGATTCGTTTCCCACAGAAAACATCGGGAGCCACAAAGCTTACAGGGGATCGAAAAGCTCAATAAATTGCAAGTGTCGCACACTGGCAGTTGTGACACACATTTTGAGCGATGGGGAGCCACAACAGAGGGATGAAAGAGCCACATGGGGCCCCGGAGCCGCAAGGTTGCCGACCCCCCGGGCTTAGAAAGGTAGGTGGAATAACACCAAGGCAGCGTAGTAATAAGACTGGGCCCTTGGGTGAGAAGAATCCCCAAAATTCATTCACATCACCCTGTTTTGCACAATCTGCACAAACCCTAACCCCTCTCGCTCTGACTCTATGAAATGGTACGGCACGAAGGGAGGTCAACGTTGAAGGGGATCAGTGAATCGCCCGCTCCAAACACGACAGGAATTGGTTGCCAGATCTCTGCAAAAAAAAAAAAAAAA